TATATATATATATATTCGCCAAAATAAAAATTTCATTGATGAGAAGAAGATACAAAGGTTTTAGTGAACGGGTGCTAGGAACCCACTCACAAGGCATACAAGACTCTAAAAGATAACAAAAAATACAAGTATACCCCCAAAAGAGCTGAACAATTTCCCTAAAAGAATAAAATGGTCCATCAGAGAGCTTAATCAAGATGAGTGGGTTTTCCTCTCTCCCTAGTTCTAGAGAGGGAGTCTAACACCAAACTGTGACAAGGGCTTCCACCCGAAACGAGCAAAGCATCCTCCTGTAAATTCCTAAGTTCATTCAATTTTCTTTTTCTTTTTCTTGGTTTTGTAAACTTGTCAATCATCTTTCAAGGGTTGTCCCAACTTATCACTGAGTTGATCATCAATGGGGGCAATTTCCACCTATTGCGCACCTTGAACTTGGCACTTCGCCAAGGTTCGAGGGCCCTCAATGTCAGCAATAATTGTTTCCATAGCATATGGAGCATCATTTGGCACTAAAAGGAGAGTATCCTCATTTTCGGCAACATGAGGGGGTTGAGGCAGTGAGGGGTGCTCCTATGGGGCACAAACAGTGACAATATCCTCTCTAGTTGTAGTTTCCACTATATCAATCAATGAAATAAGTGTTTCTTGAGTAGTTAGATGAGGCACTTGAGGTTGAGGTCTCAAATTAGGATAAAGTCTGAAACATTTTTCAAGTATGTATTCAAACATCTTACAATGGGTGTAATAATATGGTCTTTGTTCCATGACAATATGTTCCCAGTACCCGTTATGTGGAGTGTCGAGCCAAATTTCATCAATGTCAAGTAAAGTGATATCTCTCTCCACAAGAATCCTGGTAACAGAAAGCCTGGTGAGATTAAAAGTGGGTATGTCTAATTTAATTGGTCTCCCAAGCATTGCCCAAATGGAATAAAGGACCTGATGGTTGAAAAGATGCAATTTAAGCCCAGATAACTTAAGTCATATCGGTATTGTAGGTGGTTCTTGATTTGGATCAAATTCAGTAGACCACTTGAGCAACTTTATAGTTTTTCCTTCAATGGTGAGGTACTTACTGTAGAAAATCCTAGCATAACCTTCGTTCGTAGTCAATTATATCATCACATGTCACTCGTCAAAGAGACACACCTATCATTGTCCTACAAGTTTGAGGTCCTACAAGTTTGCGAATAACCTTCATTTTGAGATGCTCTAATTGAAATTTTCCAATGAGTGTGAATTTGTATTTTTCAATCAGAGTAGAAACTTCGAGGCCTGAAAAATTAAGAACGATCTTACCACCTTTCCTACAAGTCCTCTTAGCAAACGAACCGTCTCAAGGGAATCATGATAGATTCGAGGAAACACCACATGGTCAACAGCAATCTCAGAGTCTCCAAGCGCCTCAACAAAATTTTTTTTGCCTAGGTACTGATTCGAGGGAGGAACAGTGGCCGTTGAAAGTAACAGAGAAAAAACAGAGAATAAATGGGGAGCTGAAGCCGAACTCCAGAAGGATCACGCTATTGTCAAGCTGAGTCGAGGAGGAAGACGAAGGAGGAGTCGGGTCGAGGAGGAAGACGAAGGACGAGCCGATCGTGTCCTGGCTGAGTGTCGAAGAAACGAAGAACAGGATCGCGCTGAAGTCGAGGAGGAAGATGAGGAAGACGAACACGCAACCCTTTCCCATCTTCCCTGAGAGGCTACGAAACTGCTCGACGAGAACCTCTACCATTCTTCTCCGAGCATGAGGAGGTGACTAACAGGTAAGGTTCTCAACATGCGGGGTATCGAGGGATACTCGAGTCTTCATGTCGCGACTTTTATATATATATATTTATGACTTTTATATATATATATAGTAGAAGCCCGATTTATGATTGTGACTTGAAAAATCAAATAAAAGTAGATTGTTGGCTATAGAAGTGTTGAAGTTGAGTTTCATTCTATATCTTTGGCAATATGTAAAGCTCTGATTTAGCATCATGCTCCGCGAGTTATATATGTCGGTCATTGTTCCTCTACAGTTATTCTGTGATAATAATGTTGTCATTAGCAGTGTTTATAATCTGATCCCATAGTAGAAGTCCGTCTATTATTGACGATCTACCTCGGGTTATTGCTCCTTCATGTGAGAAAATCTTGTCACTTGGAAAAGCAAATAAAAGTCGATGGTTAAATGTAGCAGTGTTGAAGTTGAGTTCATTCTATATTTTTGGCAATATGTAAAGCTCTTTGGTTGCGCATCATGCTTCGCGACTTATATATGTCGGTCACTATTCCTCTACAGTTGTTCTGTGATAATAAAGTCATCATTAGCAGTGTTTATAATCTGATTCAGTATGATCACACCAACCATGTAGAGATTGATCGTTGTTTCATCAAGGAGAAGCACGATTCTGAGGAAAATTTGTGTTCCCTTTATCCCAACCAGTGGTCAACACACACACAGATATCCTTACAAAAAATCTTCTTCGGCTATTGTTTGACTACTTAAAATCTAAGTTGAACATGATTGACATCCATGCTTGAACTTAAGGGAGAATTAAAAGTTATTTCTATTTATTTGTTGCCTTCTCTTTTATATTTATTTTTATTTTTTATGTATTTCCTGGTGTATGCTTTTCCTTCTTATGTTTTGAGTGTTATAAGAAAAATTTTGGGTATTATATCTTTCCTTGTTCTATATCCCTTGTATGGTATATTTATAGCCCTTTCGCTGCTCAATAATCTTATTTTGCACAATTCCCAAAATCTACAATAAATATTGCAAATTGTTTGTTCAATATTTCTGCTGTCAATATCGTGTAATTAGCTGCACTCAAGGAACACTTAACAGTACCGACCATAAATCACATTTATACAATAGCATAGAATATGATAAGGCGGAAAAGGAGAGTGTGAAAAAAAGACATTATCAATTCTTTGTTTTCAAGGGTTTATTTTCACAAGTTTGAGAAGTAAAAAAAGGTTACCAGATGCACTTTCTCTGATTTAGTAACAGATTTGCGTCCTTCCAACTTAGAGCTGTCTGGTTTTTTAACCACAGCAGAGAAAAGAGTCTCCAGCTCTAAAATGTCAAATTCCGTAGTGCTGAACCACAATCAGCTCGTTAGCAAAGAAGTAAATACTGAAAACCTACTCGAGAAGCATAAACTATAAAGTTTTAACGGTAGTACGCAGGTTTCTTAAGAATATCAAGGTGGTGAAACTTTGTATGCATTCACAGTGTCTTTTACCTGGCAAATCTTCTATGTTAAGACTAAGGTTTCAACACAGTTAACTAGAAGTAATTGAATTCTTAGGATTAATAATGACGTGAATGTAACCTACTTAGTAAATGATGAGTAGAAAGGAAAAAAAAAAAAAAGAGCTAAAAGCATTGTACCTCTGAGCATCAGCATGCTTTTGTAGTTCCGCCCATAAACTCCCTTGCATAGCTCTAGTTACTTTAACCCAATGCAATGGTTTTAAAGATGATTTTTTTATGGCTGTGGCAGAAACTCCTGCACGTGCAAATCCAAGTCCTCTTCCACCAGACATGGAACCTAATGGTGGTTGTGGCCCTCTTAAACTAGAACGTGGAGGTGGCGGTGGAGCACTTGGAGCCCTCGAAAGCATTGGAGGTGGTACACCCTCACTAGGGGTAGGCGTTGGAGATGGAGCTCCACATTGATGTCCACTAGGTGAAGGCAAAGCATCATATACCCTAGGAGGAGGCAGGGAGGGAGCTCCCTCAAATCCTCCAGGTAGTGGAGATGAAGATGGTGCTATCACATGACCCTCAGGGAGAGGAGGAGTTAGTGGTGGAGGAGATCCGCCAGGGGTAGTAGAAGGAAGAAGTGGTGGTGGTGGTCCCCTAGGTCTTCCTAGTAAAGGTGATGGTGGTGGAGCTCCATCAAAAGTAGGCAGAGGAAGAGGATGTGGTGCTCCCAGAGGAGGCAGTCGTGGAGCTCTAAAGATAGTTGGCGTTTGTGGAGATGCATGGCGAGGAGTTGGTGCTGGTGGTGGTGGAGCTACAACAGGTTCTTTGTAAGGAAGTTGAGGAGGTATTGGTGGGGATGGAGTTTGTTCATGAGAGGGTGGAGTTGAACCTTTCCCACAACCCCCTAATAGGAGAGATGGTAGAGATGGAGTTCCTTTACACCCTTTGATGACAGATGCAGATGGAAATCCAATAGGAGCAGGTGGTAGTGGAGGTGGGGGAGGTGGGCAAGTATTTGCTTTAAGCAATGGGCATGGAGTTGAAGGCCTTGGAACGGTAGGAGGAGATGCTGATGGAGATGCAAATGGAGCTTCACTCGTAGTACAGTTTAGTGGAGATTGGAAGGATGGAATGGGACAAGCTCCTGCTCCTTCATTTTTAGTTGATGAAAAAGAAGATAACGCAGGAAGCGAGATTGGGGGAACTATATGGGAAGGAGATGGGATGCTTTCACAAAAAGGGGTTAAGTATTCTTGCATAGGTGAGGAAATTGTAAATGGAGAACAGGATAGAGGTGGAGGAGCTACTGTAGAGGAAGGAACTCTTGGTACTTGCTGATATTTTGGACTCTCAGGCGCAGTTTGTTTAACTGCAGGAAGAAGGGGAGTCGCTGTAGTTGAAGCAATCCCTTGGAGATGATTTTGAGAAAATGAAGCTGGAGGTGCCTGCCCAGAAGGCGGTGGAGATCCCACGTGAAAAAGAGATACATAAGATGGTGTAATAATTTCTACATTGGAAACTTCAGATGTATTTAACTTTCTAACAGGATGCAAAGGTGACGAAAATAGACATCGCGTCATATGGCCTTTAGGAGAATGTTGAAACTCTGCAAGTGGAAAAAAAGCCAGGTGGGACGCAAGCAAATCAAAATCACCTTTCCTAACAGTAAATGGAGGTGTGAGGTTTGTAGTTGACAAGGATTTAGTAGGACTGTTGAGCTTTATAGGAGGTAAGGGAGGTAGGTAAGAAGCAAGTAATTCACTAGCACTTTGTGTTTTACTAAAAGAATGCATTGCAGGAGGACAGAATTCTCCAAGTTGAAGTGCAGAGAGGTGATTACCTGAACTGTTGGATCTGGAAACTGTTGAAGATAATGGGAGATGAATGGATTGTAGTGGTGGTAAAGGGGGAGGTGTGGGTGGAGATGGGAATGTAGCAGAGGAACTTGCAGGTTGAGGGAAGGGAGGAGGTTGAGGACTTGGTGTGGGACATGAGTGTGAAGGAAATTCGTCATTCACATGCATATGAGATTTATGTGGTGACAAAGGAGTTTCCTTGAGAAGAAAACCATAATTAGAAGAATGAGAAAAAAGAGGGCAGGACTGATAAGTTGGTGCATAGGAAAGTGTAGGGGGATCTTCTCTCGCACTTGGATGTGGCATGGGTGATATTGGTGAGGGTTGGGGTGTTGGGGATGATAGTAGCATGACTAAAGGATGTGGTGGTGGAGATGACGGGGATGGGGACTCATTGCTATTGATTGGAGCAATAAAATGGAAGGATTGAGGATAAAGAGGAGGTGGGGGTGGCGTTTGGAGAGGCTGGATTGAATCAAGTTGTGTTTGGAGAGGCTGGATTGAAACAAGTTCTCCCTCACTCAAATTTGAAAGAGGTGGGTGTGAAGCAGGTTGTAGAGGTGTAAGTGACAATGAAGAAAATTTTGAAATTTTTCCATCAATAGGAGCATTGAAATGCAACATTGGGGGGGAGGAAGGGGGATGGGACGGGAGACTGGAAAGGGAAGATGCAGAGGATTTATCGCTCACATTATTAGATGAAGAAGTTGTGGATAGAGGAAGCAACATAGGAGAGCTGCAAGAACATGGTGCTGGAGGAATGTCTTTGGATGAAGAAAAGAGTTGCAAGGTCTGTGAATGAGACACATCTAGTGATATCTGAGAGGAATTGGTTCTTGTTGGATATAAACAAAGCAAATTTGATTCAGGCATCTGTGATGACTGAGAAGAAGAAAAAGATGGTAAGAATGGTGTAGTAGCTGAATGGTAAGCTTCCTTTATCACCGATGGTGCTGAACGTGATAATTGTGGGGTTTCTGTAGCAAAAGTTAATGAATCTACAGTTTCACCTTCTTCAGGGGAAGATGTATGGGGGGCCATAGAAGTCAGCGAGTCATTGTTCGTTGATGTTAAATATGACAAATGGACATGATTATCTTCTGAATCCTTGCTAACAAAAGTATGCACAACTAAAATTTCTGCATGTTTTTCAATATTACCAGCTGATAATAGTAGTTTCCCCTTTTCTACAATGCTAACTGGATCAGACGGAGCTAACTGTGATGCATCAAGCAGTTGTTCCTCATGCTCCTTTTTATGAACATGGTCCTCTTTATTTTCACAAGAAAACTCAAGAAAAACACTATTTTGGGAAACAAAGCCATCCTCAACGCAAGTATGATTTACTTCCCTGTCCTCTATCCAATCAACATTTTCTTTGTTCCCAGACTGAACACCCTGGCTATCATGAATTGATTTCATGTTGAATTTAGTAACAATACTGCTATAAGAATTTTCCGTCTCTGAGCTTATCGTTTCATTGCAAAGCAATGGAATTTTAAAATTTTGAGCCATATCACATTGTTTTTTTCCCTTTGGGTCCAGATCAAGTTCGTTAGATGCTGATACAGCATGTTCCTCAGCTTCAAAATAATGATTTTCCTTTGTATCCTCATTGTGATAAACAAAATTGAAGTTCCCAAATTCAGAGCAGTTCATATTATGAAAGGAGCCTCTTTCGGAAAATTCTACCTTTGCTGGTTCTCCATTTTCAAAGCTCACCTCTGGTTGATGCGCGGGTTTAATTTCTAACTGATTAGTTGCATGACAAAAAGCACCTCCAACAAAGGCATTTAGAGTTGCTGGATTCACAAGGCACTTCACATCCTGTATCAAACCATTCGTTTCATACACACTCATCTCATCATCTGCCAAATTAGAATTTATTTTGGTATACGCACTGCGATCAACAAATTTAGGGGTTCTAAAATCCGGACTGGAATATTGAAAATACTGTGCTCTATTATCATAAGCTTCATCATTCTGTTTGGGAAGTTTGATTTCTAAGCTGTGTTTAGCCTCATCTACTGATACTGTGTTACAAACTACTTTCTTACAATCAAGAACAATGTTAAAAACATTTCTGAGATTTCTAGTTATGGACAAGTTCTCCTCTACAAATGCTAAATCTTGAATACATGTTTCAACAATCATGTCCAAGTTTTCATTCTCCATCCTCTGAACTCCATCACGGCTGGCTCCGAACTGTTGCTGTGTTGCCATTTCCGGCACACTTGAGTCATTCGAAATAAGCATTTCTTGTGCTGGTCCATTCTTCAGATTTTGTATAGGAGATACAAAGTGTAAATTACTATTTACTGTTTCTTCATGATCTGAAACTAATTCAGGCATACAGACATCATGTATTTTGATGGGAGTTGAGTGAAAATCCAGATCCCTTGTCTCATCATGCAAATCGGGATTGCTAAAGATCTCTTCTGCTTCAAAGAACTCCTCACCTTCCACCTCATCTTCCTTCATAGCTACGACTTGGGGGTTATTTGAACCGTCAGCAAATTCTGAAAATTTTACCTAGTGCAGTCATGAATATACTTTCAACCATCAGCACATCTTTAAAATAGACTCCACTGAAAAAGAAGCAAGCGCCTACCTCAGCCTTGAAGTTCTTAGTAAACTGGTCCTCCAAACCCCAGATGATGTCAATCTCCTCTCTATTCAGAAGAAGAACATTGTTTTGAATGAATGCTGTGTTGAACATGATCCTGAAAAGCATCTCTTCAAGTTCTAGATCTCCATCCATGTGTATGCATTCGAGGACAACATCACCTTGAATGCTGCAATGAACATCTAGTGATATCTGTGAGTCATCTTCCTGCGATTAATGAAAATTGATATAAAATTCTAAAATACCGATATGAACAACAATTTACTATAATATTATACATCACCTCTCGGAAGTTATGAACCTGTTCTTTGTTCTCTAGTGACGTGAAGAGGACTCGATGGCATTCATCAACCGGGTTAGAAGGATCCCGGCCATATACACGAACAATCGGCCTAAATCCTGTCTTTCCATCAAAATATGGAGCATCTCGAAGAATAAGACAGTCCAAAATGTATGGCACGTCACAAAGAGGCCACTGTAACCCACTGCCATTTCCTGTGATGTAACGGAGATATCTCAGATGAGAAGAAGAAGGGTTTAAGGGAGTAAGGATCTGGAGAAACTCCCTTGGAGCCTGCTTATACATCATTTCCAGAGCTCTCTCTTTTCCACTATACTGACGTCTGTAAAGCATCAGACAAGCAAGCATGAAAGAAAGCACAGGCCATCCTCCTCTTTCACAGTGCATCAGGAGAACGTTTCGCTGCCCTTCCGTTGACAGCCAGTTATCACAGAACCTTAAGAATTGGTAGACCATCCCCATGGGAAGTACTGGACATCCATGGTATCCGTCAGGATACTCAATGACACTAACATTAAAGGGAGCAAGAATTTCTGCAAGCAAATTTCTTCTTCCCTCCTCTCTGAAATTAAACACCGACAGAGAAGCATCAGGAAAATAACTCTGCAGCTGTACCATAATTTTATTCATGTAATCCTTGTATTCATCTTCTTCCAAACGTTCCGATGAAAAGCAGCAGTCGAAAACTACATTAAAAGGAAATAAATTTTACAAATGAGAATGAATTTAGAGAAAACTCACACGAGAAAATGAACGGAAACCAAAGAGAGCATTACCGTAAACTCTGTCGCCGATCTCCAGAAGCCGGTCTGGAGGCTTTCTGTAGAACAGCCTCCTGAAGAGCGCCATCCGACGGCTCCGCCTCCGGCGGCCGTTTCCTCCCCGGTACGATCCAAACCCTAACTTTCCGACGAGCTCAGATCAAACCATCGCAATGCTGGATGCAAGATTGCCCGTACAGCCAGCTTGATAACCAGAAAATTTTCTCCTGGATGAAGAGAACCGAGTTAGGGTTTCAGGGGAAGTTTGTGACATTTGCGGTTTTAAATATCTGAGGACGAGCTCCGACGAGGGATGACCAGAGTTGTTCGAAAGGTGGGAAAGGAGGATGGGAGGAGGGCGGAGCGAACCGAAGGCGCGAAATGAACGGGTCAGTTGGTCCGACTCGGAAGTTATGGACCCACTGATGGTAACCGTTAATACTATAATTTTTCGATACTGTCCGGCTAAACAGATTATCAATTTTTAACGATATTAGTATGTCTGGCCATCAGAATTCAACCTGACCGTTGATTGCTTTTACCATAGATACTTTTACTATTATTAAGAATATATTTCAAATTACTAAAAGCCTTTTGGCATCATTTTTTTTTTTAAAATTAGATTAGTTTTTATAAAACATTTATTATTTTTATTTATTAGAAATAGGCATGAAAGTTTACTTTAGATTATTTTAAGCTCACTTTTATGGAGTGTTTATTTACGTCTGACCAACATATTAAGTTGGAGTTCGATTTCACTATCCCGGCTCCTGCCTTCTGTCCCGCTCCCGCCTTCTTTTCTCGAAAAGTTGCAAACTATTCCCTTTCGATTGCGAAAGGTCACAACCGCGACCTTACGGTTTCACAAACCGTTCCTGTCTTTCTCTAACGTGAAGCGAAGCATCCCTTCGCTTGTTCTTCTTCGTGATAAAAGGCATTGTGAGGTGACTCTCCTTAGATTCAAGTCACGGTTGGTGTTCTTATTCGGCTTCCTCGGGATAGAAGGAAGGAAAGTGCAAGATGTAGTTCATTGCGATGAAGGAAGAAGAAAGAAGAAGAAGAAGATTGTTCTCCTTTGGCTTCTTCTTGGTGGTTTGTGGCAGAAGAAAAATTGGGTTTATTTCTTTTGTAAGTTTGTATTCTTCGGTGTATCTCGGTGTAGAGTTTCTTCGGTGTATCTCAGTTTAGAGAGAGATGACAGAGAGAGAAGAAGAGAGAGCAATGAAGTGAGAGTGAGAGATTCCTACTATACTATAAGTCGAGCGAGGTGATCGACTGGTGTAAATTTCTCAAGTAGTAAAATCCTCTGCAACTCCGTGGACGTAGGCAATTTGTCGAACCACGTAACTCTGTGTGTTCTTTTCTGATGTGATTTTTCTTGTTCTATTTTTTCGCTTCGTCTATCGTTCTCCTGTTTGATTTATCTATATATCTCGCACAACGGTATTAGAGCTTTGTTCGGATCTCATGAAAAATGATGATTGCAGATGAAGTGAAGGCTTTAGGAATCGAGAAACTTGATGGTACAGATTTTGGTTATTAGAGGATGCAGATAGAGGACTACCTCTATGGGAAGAAACATCATCTTCTGTTATTGAGAAAAAAGACTTGGAATCATGGATGTGGCTGAATGGAATTTGTTAGATCGATAAGTTCTGAGGGTTATTCGATTGACCATGTCGAGGTCCATTGCACACAACGTCGTCAAGGAGAGGATGACTGTATATCTCATGATAGCCTTATCAAGTATGTATGAAAAGCAATCGGCGAATAACAAGGTGTATTTGATGAAAAAGTTATTCAATTTAAAGATGGTGGAATGTGTTTCTGTTGCTCAACACTTGAATGATTTCAATACTATCACAAATCAATTGTATGTTAAAATTAATTTTGATGATGATATACGTGCGCTGATTTTGTTGGCATCATTGTCAAATAGTTGGGAAGCCATGAGGAAGACAGTTAACAGTTCCACATGTAAATCTAAATTAAAATGTGATGATATTCGTGATTTGATTTTTCTAAGAAGATTCGCAAAAAAGATTCTGGCGAGATCGCAAGTATGAGTTCGGCACTGAATGTTAACTTCAGAGGGAGATGTCATGACAAAAACTCATATAAAGGGAGATCAAAATCAAAGTTTGGTCAGCAGACAACCTGCTGGAATTGTGGCAAGACTAACCACATAAGGAGGAACTGCATGAATCTCAAGAAGATGAAGGATGATAGCACAAATGTGGTATCTAATGAAGTACAGGATGCACTACTGCTAGTATTTCATAATTTTGTTGATGATGGAGTGAAGAGAAGAGTGGGTCCGAGGCACTCATTCCTATTATTCCACAGACAGATGGTGGAGAACTACAGAGCTATGAGAAAATCTTGCAAGATAAAAGTTCTAGTAAGTGGGAGCTGGCAGAACTTTCACCAAGGAAGAAGACATTACACAACAAGTGAGAGTACAAGACTGGGCATAATGGCAGTAAGAGGTACAAGACTAGACTTATTGAAAAAGGCTTTCAACAGAGGCAAGATATTGCCCATGTAGTGAGAGTTATAAGCAGAGACAAGAGTAATCTAGGAAATAGCTTGGAGGTGCAAGTCTATTTGGACCCTACTGATATGTTGACTGAGGGTGTTACTCTTGAGAAACTGAAGTTGTGCACAGTTTCAGTTGGTCTTCTGGAGTGAAGACAGGGTTTTGAGTTGCAGAGGTGGTGGATTCAAGGTAGAGGATTCAAGTTGGAGGATTCATGGTGAATGATTCATGTTTGAAGAAAAAAGGCGACACCGCTAGTGGAGGTTATCATTTTGAGGAAGAAGATGTTGCTTGTGTATCGAACTCTAAGTGAGAGATTGTTAAGCTGGAGTTCTATTTCACGATCCCGCCTCTCACCTTCTGTCCCGCTCCCGCCTTCCTTTCGCGAAAAGTTGTGTACTGTTCCCTCTCGATCGTGAAAGGTCACGACCGCGACCTTACAGTTTCACAAACCATTCCCGCCTTTCTCTTACACGAAGCGAAGCATCCCTTCACTCCTTCCTGTTCGTGATAAAAGTCATTGCGAGGTGACTCTCCTTAGATTCAAGTCACGGTTAGTGTTCTTCTTCGGTTTCCTCGGGATAGAGAAAGTTTTCCTCATAATAGAAGAAAGGAAAGTGCAAGAGGTAGTTCCTTGCGGTGAAGGAAGAAGAAAGAAGAAGAATATTGTTCTCCCTTGGCTTCATCTTGGTGGCTTATGGCAGAAGAGAAATTGGGTTTATTTCTCTTGAAAGTTTGTCTTCTTCGGTATATCTTGGTGTAGAGTTTCTTCGGTGTATCTCGGTTTAGAGAGAGAAGAACAGAGAGAGAACAAAAGAGAGCAACGAATTGAGAGTGAGAGACTACGTGAGAGATTCCTCTTGTAAGTCGAGGTGATCGACTTGTATAAATTTCTCTAGTAAAATCCTCTGCAACTCCTTGGATGTAGGCAATTTGCCGAATCACGTAAATCTGTGTGTTTCACGTAAATCTGATCTGTGTGTTCTTTTCTGGTGTGATTTTTCTCATTCTATATTTCGCTTCGTCGATCTTTCTTCTTTTTGATTTATCTATATATCTCGCAACATAACATTAATTTTAAAGATAAATAAAATTCAAAAAAATGGGAACTATATTAGAAACAATTGAAATATAATCAAACCCTCCTTGAAGCTTATATAAACCATCATGCAAAGATAATTTTAAATAGAATTTGATTAAGATTAAAAAATCTTTCAAAATGTTACTTAAATGTTCAAATAATAAAGTTTAGAATTCAAATAGATAACTTCAATTTTTTTCAATTATTATAGATTTGTGTCAAATAGAGCTTAACAGAAAGACCTAATTAGTATTCTTAACACATCAAAACTATCATTATTCAGATATGAATTAAAAATAGATCGAGGATAGTTTGGAAAATATTTGATTGTGGCTCAAAAAGAAAAGATCATTAATAGGAAAGACAGACTCCCTTCTCAACCAAGTCATAAATGAAGCTAAATGATCCACATCCTTTCCATTACTCTACTTTTATACATTGCACAATCCTTTTCCTTTCTCTCTTTTCTAACCTAGCCTCATTCGCCGCCTTTTATAGAGGTATCCTGAGAGGGAGATTACCCTCTTGCTATAGTAAAAATGGCAGGAAGCACTTGTGGTAGTGTGGTTAGAAAATGATGGTGGGAGCAAGCTTTTTGCCATAGGTAGGAATTACCTTGTGATTTTTGGGAACCAGCTAAACAACCTCCTTTCACCCCCTCTCAAACTAAGGCTCCATGAAACTGAGACCCTCAGTCGTGGAGTGTCAGTTTGTTGGCTAGAATTTGATGACGAGGTTGAGGTGGTGATTTGGTGAAAATATTAGCAATCTAATATTGGGACATGATGTTTTTTAGGCAAATTTCTGCATATTGGATGTGTTGTGAGATATGTACTTCCTGACATAGAAATGAGACGAAAAAGAACACAAGCAAACACAGATCGTTTACGTGGTTCGATCCAACTGGATCTACGTCCACGGGAGGGAATCAATCAAATATTTCACTAAGGCAAAAGAAATGGAGAATACATAGCTTATACATAGAGATGAGCCCTCATCTTCCTTCTATGGCCTCCCTCTCAAGCGACACCTTGATACAAGGCCTCAAGATGCTCTCCTCCTCTCTAACTCTATAGTTATTCTCTTCTCCTTTGTGGTAGCTTAAGATATCTTCTCCCTTTTCTCTCCTAAGCCTCACACCCTTAAGATTTCTTCCCTTTTCTCTCCTAAGCCTCACACCCTTAAGATTTCTTCCCTTTTCTCTCCTAAGCCTCACACCCTTAAGATTTCTTCCCTTGCTCTCCTAAGCCTCACACCCTCTCTATTTATAGAAGCAAGAGAGTGATTGGTGGGAGGTAGGTGAGCGGTAGGTGAACAGTAGGTGAACGGTAGGTGAGATGTGGTAGGTGAGCGGTACCACATTACAAAAGTG